CTCTGGAAAGTCGAAGCAATTAGAGAGACAAAGGGATGGTATCCTACCTTTGAAAACGCCTTGACGACGTGTACTGCAAAATTGATATTTGCCAGAAGGACTCGAAAACTGTCTATTTAAATAAAAGGCATTGTCTAGACTAAAGTTAGGGTATTTTGAAGAAATAGTACGTGTGTTCAAATCACTTACCTGAGATGGAAACCACGTTCCTGCACAGCACGTACACAACTTAGTTGATCCGTCCTTAATGTTAGATATTGTTCCCTTGCCGTAGCTCGACTCCTCCGTCGCTGGCGTTCCCGTTGGTCCTCTCGTTCATTCTCCGAAAGTTGTGCTCTTGCAGCAATATTGCGCTGTGACTGTCTTGAAGATTCCGCCTGTCGATTTTGTGAACTCGACCTGTATGTGAGAAGTCGCTCGTCAGCCATTCCTGAATTTGTTGTTCCCGAAATCTTTGCTGAAGTCTTGTGTTCCGAATATGCACTGTGTCTGTCCGTTGCTCCTGTGCCCTAGTGATAGGGTTGTCCCTAGTGATCCTATGAGCTGCTGCGTCCCGTAAACGGTCAAATCCTCTATTTTCCTCGATCCTGCTCTCGTCGTCGCTCTTCGGAATCCGACCTGACCATTGCGCGCACTGCAGCGTCCCGTGCGCGCTCGGGTCGTCGGGACCTCCTGTCGTCGTCGTTCTTCGGAATTCGACCTGGCGCTTGCGTGCGCTACAGCGTCCCGTGCGCGCTCGGGTCCTCGATTTTCCTCGATCGATCTCCAGGTAGCATGATCAGCAGTGTTTCGCGACGGCTCTCGTCGTCGCTCTTCGGAATCCGACCTGGCGCTTGCGTGCGCTTCAGCATCCCGTGTGCGCTCGAGTCCTCGATTTTCCTCGATCGTTCTACAGGTAGCGCGATTGTCAGTGTTTCTCAATGGTCCGCTGGCTCGAATTCTTTCACTTCTCCTTCTCTGAGAGCAAGCAGCGGAATTTCGCGAGCGAGCTTCTTCTGCTACCTCCTAATCACTTGCACGGGCTAAGGCAATGTGTTCCGCATTACGGGAGCATATTGGGATCGGCTTCGTCTAAGCGCAGCTTGGCGGCGCTGCTCTTGAGATAAAGAAGATATGCGCGGCATTCTCTTTATTTTGCTGTTAAAAAATAATTGTATAAAAGTTAAGGGGTTATAATTTGTCAGAGATTTTCCAAATCTCTTTTGGTCGGGATTCTGGTAAATATTTATTGATGTTTATTGATGTTCCACCTTAATTTCACCAGAGGAGACTTATGTGTTATAATTTATGAATCCTGTTTTACGTTATAGAAATACTTACCAAAGGAAAAAAGTATAATAATACTTTATTATTTCCTACACACTTTTCACCTTATACCTTTTGGTGGATTTTTAATCAGTTTTCACCTTATACTTTTTTATGGGTTCACATTTCACCTTTTGTGGATTTTTATTCACTTTCACCGTATACTTTCGGTGTGTTTATATTAATTGAGTTTAAAACATACACACAACAATGTATACGTTGTTACTCGGCAACTGGTTTTCACAGACTAGTCCGGGGATTAGGATTACGAGTCAGAATATAAGTTTGAATCATACCTGCTATTTACCTTCATATAATTTTTTCGATTGCGGGCAATGCCTGATTTTAAGGATAATTCGTAGGTAAACCAAGTTGGTTACCTAATTTAAGGATTGCGAATTAACTGCATTATTACCTGTTATCTAAAAAAATTTTTTTTTGACTATATACGATAGCTATACGATATAATTGTCTGATCTGGCTGGTTCCGACTTATATACTATCTGCATAAGAAAGAAGACTTTTGGGAAAGTTTCAGACCGATAGCTTTAAGACAGACGGACATGGCTTAAAAAATCAATTACAAAAAATAATATAAAAATAAATGCAAGGGTATACTAATTATTTCATTATTTCTCTGACCGTTTATTTGACAGTTATATGTTAAATATAATTCGAAATTCTTAAAAATACACAAAATATTATTTCCAATAGTATAACGTAATTCAAAATTCAAAACTAGTTAAAAAAATGTTATTTCCAAGCTTTGGAGGCTTTATGTATGAAACACCGAAGCTATAACTTGTTTCATCGTCCGATTTTGATAAAATAAAATTCGAAATTCAGAACTAATTAAATAATGTTATTTCCAAGCGTAGGAGTTTATATGTTAAAAAACACGAAAGCTATAATTTGTTTCATATTATTTTCCCACCGATTTTACGATCGTTCTTATGGCAGCTATATAATATAGTCCTCCGATTTTGATAAAATTTAATTCGAATTTCAAAACTAATTAAAAAATGTTATTTCCAAGCAAAGGAGGTTATATGTTAGAAAAGGCAAAAGGTATAATTTTTGTAAATTTTTTTTCGATTATTCCTATGGAAGCTATAAGATAAAGTTGTCCGATCCGGCTGGTTTCGACTTATATACTACCTGCAAAAAATATAAGACTTTTGGGAAAGATTCAGCCCGATAGCTTTAAAACTGAAAGACTAGTTTGCGTAGAAACGGGAGGACAGACGGACATGGCTAGATCGACTCGTCTAGTGATGCTGATCAAGAATATATATACTTTATGGGGTCGGAAACGTCTCCTTCACTGCGTTGCAAACTTCTGACTGAAATCATTATACCCTCTGCAAGGGTATAAAAATTAACATTTTTGTGCATATTACAAAAATATCATTTAATTTTTTAAGCATGTGATTTTCGGAACAACCAATGACTGTTAAATCATCCAATATAAAGGAATGCTTGAGAAGCTTCAAGTCCAAAAAATGCCATAGTCATCATTCTCTGAAATTAATAAGGGGCTATTTTTAAACCAAAAGGTAATCGCGTGAAACGATATGAGTCATTGCTCGTTAAAAACAAAGTTTGGTTTCGTGAATTTTCTTAAAGTTCAATTTAATAGAACCTGACATTAAATCAAGGCACGAGTCGTACTTTTCTCTACCTAGTTGATCCAAAATGTCATCAATTTTTGGGAGCGGAAATTTATCAGACAGAAGTTTTTTGTCGGTTTGACTGTAGTCAACTACTAGTCGCCATTTCTTTTCGTTTGAGCCTGAAGGGCTTTCCTTGGGAAAAATATAGGTGGGCTGTTGTATTCCGATACAGAGGGTTCGACTATATTGTCCTTATCTAATTTTCCTACTTGTTTTTGAATTTCCTCAACTTGGCTGTGTGGGCTTCGATAATTTTTTATATAATTCGGTTCATCGTCCTTCAATCTTAATTTTTGCTTGTAAAAATTATTTGTTGTTATTGATTCGGTTTCAAAACCGAATAGGTCATTATATTTTGCACATAGTTCCCTTAATTGTCGTTCAAATTAATCCGGGAAATTTTATTTTAATTCTTCTATGATGTTTTGTTCTCTATTACTTGGAGTGTTTTGAATTACATTATAATCGAAATTGGTTCACATTTTAAATTGTATATACTTATCAATTGATCGGTATTGGTTGTGTTTAGTTATTGGACAAATGTGTTTTGTTTTGTTGTGATAGTATTAGCAACGTATATATCAGGTTGAGTCTCTTGATTTGGTATTAATATAGTATCAGTATTGGACATTATTTTGATTTTTGTTTGGTACATTGTATTGTATTGTATTATAACCAGAAATATACGTTATTTGGATATAAATGTGAATGTCTATATTATTTGGTCTTATTATAAACCAATCCTCTGTAGGTTTATGATCTATTTGGCTTCCGGCTTCAAAGGATATTCAGCTTCATCCAGCTTCACAGGATACTCAGCGTAATCCAGCTTCACAGGACTCACAGCTTCATCCAGCGTCACAGGATACTCAGCTTAATCCAGCTTCACAGGACTCACAGCTTCATCCAGCTTCATCTTACTTCATTCGTAGAGGAACCAAGTCACACAAGAATCGATTTACACAATCGATTTCTAGACACCCAAAACGAGTTGCAAGGGGAAATCCAACAGCTCATTAAGAATTATGGCAAGGTTTCTGCCGACCGACGCCACCGAGACGGCTAGTATTCCGGTAAGCTAAATCAGTTAAACGATCTCTGGCAGCAGTTTTGCGACCTAGATGAAGAAGTCCAGCAAGCGGCATTACCCACTGGAAGTGAGTACTCTTCACGACTAGTAGCTCTGCTGGCGTCGCTGGCTGCTCTGCCGACGTAGCAGTGGACTTCGGGATGATTGGGCGCTTATACTTAATTGTGGAACTGCAGGGTAGCAATCACGTCAAAGCCAGACAATAACTTTATTGATGCATGTGTCAATAGTTTCAGTGAGTGTAAATAGTTTCAGGCCGAACTGCGCGTCATACCACTGCAAGCAAAAGGGCGATATTTCTATCGCCAGTCGTCCAGGAGTCACTTCGTAGTAACTTCTGCGCGACAGAAAGACGATAGTACACATTTTACAAAAACAAAATATACATGTGTCGCGTAGAAGTAACTTCTAAGTCACTTCTGGACAATAGAAAGACGATAGTACACATTTTACAAAAACAAAAAGGGTCGCGATCGCGAAGAAAATATACAAAAATATACATATAACGCGTAGAAGTCACTTCTAAGTCACTTCTGGACGATAGAAAGGCGATAGTACACATTTTACAAAAACAAAAAGGGTCGGGATTGCGAAGAAGTAACTTCGGAGACACTTTTGCGCGATAAAACGGCGATAGAACACATTTTACAAAAACAAAATTAATGGAAAAAAACAAGCCATAAAAAAAGGTCGCGGTAATTTTCCGTTACCCCTTTTTTTCTGAAAATTTTTTGGTCTTCCTTTTGACCCACGCTATTATTTTTCGAATCACTAAAAGTTACAAACAATTAATAATTTCACTTACGAAGGAACGGGACGAAAAGTAAATTTCTTTATTTTAAGGTTGAAGCCTGCAGATAAAAATTAGTATCTCATTGATTGAAATTTGTGGTCCTTAAAAGGACCGATTTGTACAAAGTATGTTAGCAGCCACTTAAGCACGCTCGCCGCGAATGCGACGGGCCAACTGGATGTCTTTGGGCATGATGGTGACACGCTTGGCATGAATGGCGCACAAGTTGGTATCTTCAAAGAGGCCAACCAGATAGGCCTCGCTAGCTTCCTGCAGAGCCATCACCGCCGAGCTCTGGAATCGCAGGCCAGTCTTGAAGTCCTGAGCGATTTCACGCACCAGACGCTGGAAAGGCAGCTTGCGGATCAGGAGCTCGGTAATCTTCTTGTATCGACGGATCTCACGCAGGGCAACCGTTCCAGGGCAATACCGATGGGGCTTCTTCACGCCTCCGGTGGCTGGGGCGCTCTTGTGAGCGGCCTTAGTAGCCAGTTGTTTGCGTGGCGCCTTGCCACCAGTCGATTTCCGAGCGGTTTGCTTGGTACGGGCCATTTTCGAGTTCACTGCTGTTCACGTTCACTTCACGTTTCAAAACACAATAAACGTTAGCTGCATTTGCAACCTACTTATATAGCAAAACGAGGAGGATTGAAAAGAGAGGGAAGAAGAGGGCATCTCATTTGTCGAACAGAGAGCGGAGAGCGAAGAGCGGGACGCACATATCGTTCGGACTCGCTCGTGTTTCGGGGTATTTAGGTATAAATAAGAGTTCGTTGAAAATAAGGTATTAGTTCTTCAGTGACTTTCGTTTCGTGCAGTGTGTTAACAGTAGAAAATAGTGAGTTATGACTGGTCGCGGTAAAGGAGGAAAAGGCTTGGGAAAAGGAGGCGCCAAGCGTCATCGCAAAGGGCTGCGGGATAACATTCAGGGTATCACTAAGCCAGCAATCCGCCGTTTGGCTCGTCGCGGCGGTGTAAAGCCCATCTCGGGACTCATTTACGAGGAAACACGTGGCGTCCTGAAGGTGTTCTTGGAGAACGTTATCCGCGATGCCGTCACCTACACCGAACACGCCAAGAGGAAGACTGTCACAGCCATGGATGTTGTGTACGCCTTGAAGAGGCAAGGCCGCACCCTATACGGCTTCGGCGGTTAAAAAACTAGTACAGCTTGTACTTCATTCAGCAACCGGTCCTTTTCAGGACCGGAAGGCCCATTAGGCGGTTGCTTTTTAAACACTCTATTATTTTGACTTTCATAGCTCGATTGGCATTGCCAATATTTGGTAAAAAGTTTGCAGTTTACGAAATACTTACGTTTGCGCTCGAAGAAAATAGGGAAATGCTGAATAAAGTAGCCGCAATTTGGCGGCTATTCAACAAAAAAAGGGAAAACGCTGTAGTCGATGGCCTCGACTATTACTAAAAAATGTGGACGCCAGACGTATTATAGCATTATGGGCGTTAGAGTGGGCGTGGTACCCTGCCGAAACAAACTTGCGCTACGCAGGAAGCCCAATAATCCTCATGCTTAATCCCAACATACTAGCTCTTATACACTGGTCGGCATAAGTATTTTGATAAAGCAAAAGTTAAATATACTCATAATTTGAACTTACTTCTTGTAAGCTTTGGCATCAATGGAAAGGTAATTTAAATGCCGAAAAACCAAGACAGACCCGTCGTCCAATAAGAGAAAGGACTCAGGATGAAGTTGAACCACACGACCAGCTGGATATCGTAGTTTGCGCCAAACAAAACCAATCGGACTACGTATCCACAGTTGATTTCCTCGACGAAATATGTTATGTTAGGATTTGGATAAAGGAGATGCAGTCCTTGTGGGAGACGAGTAGATTCCTCCGCACATGCGAACTGAAACACGAGATCCGTACAAGGAACGAGCAACATGTCGACAATTGACAAATAGTGCCTACCCTCCGCTTTTATTGACGAACCCGTCAATGGGGGGAAGAGTGTTCGTAACCAAGGTGATTCGGATCGATCTAGCATGGTTACGAACACGGGTCAAACGCACGCAATCTCCAACACGACGGAGTTGCAAGTTGTCAGCGAGCCGAACGTACGACCATTGCAACTTTTACGGAACAGCGACCAGGCGCACAGTAGCAGCACAATATAGTGCCGACGCTGCAAGTATGGGACAACCGGTCACGACTCAGTGGTTCAGCAGTCACAAGCAGCATACTGCTGACATTGCAGCGTAGACGACAAAAATGTAGGTGAACCCCAATATGAGGCGTAACGTATCAGATAATATAGGCACCCAAGATCCGGGTCATGATAGTATTTAAGCTCTGATCAACAGCTCAATAAAGTCAGTTACAAATCTAAACACTCACAAGTCTTATTACTTCTATCACGTAAAGACTCTTGTCAACTCACCCTAACACAGCTCATCGATCGCCTGTGGTCCGGCACCATACTACCCTAGCTATCTGTGTCGCGACGTGAATCGTCCTGTGCTCTCTAGTGTCCCCGTGCTAGCGACAGGTGTGTCATTATCCTCCTTGTCCCGCGGCGTGACCTCAACACACTGTTGATCCCCGGTTACACGAGTATCCGGTACCTCTACTCACACAGTCCATATCGCCTGTGGTCCGGCACCGTGATACCCATAGTCACCCGTGTCGCGACGCGATCCGACTGCAATAAACAGCGTCCCCCTGCCAGCGACGAGCGTCTATACCCCTCCTCGTCCCGCGGAGAGACCCGACCTTGTCCATCTAACTTAGGCAAGAACAACCAGAGTTTCAGGCATTGGTGGGTATGGCATATTAAAACGGCAGAATTGTTGTCCTCGCAGTTCCCTTAAACATGAAGCGCTGTGATACTTCATGAATATCAGGATCGTCCCCGCTGGTAGTAATGAAACGATCAGTAAAGCGGGTGCCCTCTTCGGCGTTATCGGGTCCTTCTAGCTTTGTGGCACCAAAAAACCAATACATGCCATGAGAGTGCGGCGATCCTCTGTTCTGGAACTCGATCCTCCAATAATAATGGACGAGTCTTAACTCACCAAATATCTCGGAGCTTTTAAATAATTTCATTAATTGCCGGAAGCCGTGGTCGAAGTACCGGGAGCACGTTCAGTCAGATCGAATTAATCTAGCTTTTTTGGCGCTATAAAGATCTGGTGCACCTTCCTCAGTAATGTCTCTGCTATCCAATAAAAGAGATATAATAATTAAGAGTTTGTTCCATTTTGATTCAGCAGCAGAGAGGGTTATGAAGAATGTAGGCAACCCAAATTGTCTAATCATGGCAATAACTTTTTTTTCTGCCTCCCAGTGTGCTGGAGCTGAACGGAGGCCTTTTAGAATGTGAAATCCATCGTCATGTTGTACAAGACTGTCAACAAATGAATTATCCCTCACATTTGCAGCAGTTACTGCACCTGATTTTTTTCGTAGGGCAATGGAAATAGAACTTTGAATTCGTTGCATTTCATAACATTTGTACATATAAAGGACTTTGGGCACTACTGCGCAACGACGGTCGTAAAAGCGAATTTGCGATCTTGATTTTTTTGCATAGATCAAATTTCCCTTAAATATTTTGCGGCAAGAAATAGTTGGGAAGGAAAGTTCTTCTGCGTCGTCGTCAAGGGCTAAGTTTGTTGGAACGCGGCCTTCTCCGGGGGCCATAGCAATACGCTGAAGTCCAATGTCATCGTTTTCTATTAGGGTTTCATGACCTCCGGGACTTAAATCACTTTCTTGCTCGTCATTTGATTGTGAATGAGAATGTTGACGAAGAAGCTCTTCTACAACTTCTCGGTCGGATTCATCTGCGATGAACGGTATCTCTTCTTCTGCTTCCATTTGGTTGAGCCAATCACCGTCAAAGGAAATGTTGTAATTTTTGTAGAGCTCAGTGTTAACCAAGTATCGCACAGCTTGAATAACCCGAGCGGGTCGAATAGTTTCCGTCATGAATTTATGGGAATATTCTCAATTCCTTTTTAAATGAACCTGGATTACATGTGTCGAATCAAAGGTGCGCGGGAGTACGCTTACAGTATCAGGTACTGAAATTGGAACACTGACTACAGCCCCTCTTATTCCGCATTGCCTTTCATATCCAAGGGATAAAATGTGCATGAAGGGAATTCGTAGAGAAATAAGGCGCTCCTCAAGACATGTCAAGTTTTTAAGGCATTCAGGTATCTCTGGAAAGTCGAAGCAATTAGAGAGACAAAGGGATGGTATCCTACCTTTGAAAACGCCTTGACGACGTGTACTGCAAAATTGATATTTGCCAGAAGGACTCGAAAACTTTCTATTTAAATAAAAGGCATTGTCTAGACTAAAGTTGGGGTATTTTGAAGAAATAGTACGTGTGTTCAAATCACTTACCTGAGATGGAAACCACGTTCCTGCACAGCACGTACACAACTTAGTTGATCCGTCCTTAATGTTAGATATTGTTCCCTTGCCGTAGCTCGACTCCTCCGTCGCTGGCGTTCCCGTTGGTCCTCTCGTTCATTCTCCGAAAGTTGTGCTCTTGCAGCAATATTGCGCTGTGACTGTCTTGAAGATTCCGCCTGTCGATTTTGTGAACTCGACCTGTATGTGAGAAGTCGCTCGTCAGCCATTCCTGAATTTGTTGTTCCCGAAATCTTTGCTGAAGTCTTGTGTTCCGTTGCTCCTGTGCCCTAGTGATAGGGTTGTCCCTAGTGATCCTATGAGCTGCTGCGTCCCGTAAACGGTCAAATCCTCTATTTTCCTCGATCCTGCTCTCGTCGTCGCTCTTCGGAATCCGACCTGACCATTGCGCGCACTGCAGCGTCCCGTGCGCGCTCGGGTCGTCGGGACCTCCTGTCGTCGTCGTTCTTCGGAATTCGACCTGGCGCTTGCGTGCGCTACAGCGTCCCGTGCGCGCTCGGGTCCTCGATTTTCCTCGATCGATCTCCAGGTAGCATGATCAGCAGTGTTTCGCGACGGCTCTCGTCGTCGCTCTTCGGAATCCGACCTGGCGCTTGCGTGCGCTTCAGCATCCCGTGTGCGCTCGAGTCCTCGATTTTCCTCGATCGTTCTACAGGTAGCGCGATTGTCAGTGTTTCTCAATGGTCCGCTGGCTCGAATTCTTTCACTTCTCCTTCTCTGAGAGCGAGCAGCGGAATTTCGCGAGCGAGCTTCTTCTGCTACCTCCAAATCACTTGCACGGGCTAAGGCAATGTGTTCCGCATTACGGGAGCATATTGGGATCGGCTTCGTCTAAGCGCAGCTTGGCGGCGCTGCTCTTGAGATAAAGAAGATATGCGCGGCATTCTCTTTATTTTGCTGTTAAAAAATAATTGTATAAAAGTTAAGGGGTTATAATTTGTCAGAGATTTTCCAAATCTCTTTGGTCGGGATTCTGGTAAATATTTATTGATGTTTATTGATGTTCCACCTTAATTTCACCAGAGGAGACTTATGTGTTATAATTTATGAATCCTGTTTTACGTTATAGAAATACTTACCAAAGGAAAAAAGTATAATAATACTTTATTATTTTCCTACACACTTTTCACCTTATACCTTTTGGTGGATTTTTAATCAGTTTTCACCTTATACTTTTTTATGGGTTCACATTTCACCTTCTTGTGGA